CTGTATGGAATCGGGGGGGTGGGGGGATGGGAAAACAATTGAGGTTATTATACATGGGAAGTAAGGCTATCAATCAATCTGGAGAAAAAGGAAGCAAAGTGGATTAAAAATAGCAAAGAAAATTTAAGCAACTGAATGCTCTTTTCCTGTTCTTATATTAAACGTTCCAGCCAACCTTTTCAGCTCTTTATTTTCTTTAATAATAATATTCCTTGCATTTGATATAGGCGCTTCTCACGTCTTCTAGACGTCTCAAAGCGCTTCACAGAATATACTGTAAAGTGAAATGACTGTATATTTGTGGGCGAAACGTCTAATATCTATTTAGTGCCCTTCACATAGAAAAACATCTTGGAGAACTTTACAGAGACGATACAAATGCTGAGCAAGGAAAATGGGGGAGAGTGTTCCAGAGGATGGTAGTGCAGTTGCTGAAGACTCAGCCACTAGATGGTAGGGCAGAGTGGGAGAGGGACATGCACCAAACTGGGAGAGGAGGGGGTGAGCAAAAGAGTGAGTTAGGAGAAAAAAAGCCAGGGTGATTCTGGAGTGTGAACGGCTTTATAGTTCAGGACGAGGATCTTGTAGCCAATCCATTGGAGCCTGGTGGGGACTGGGGTGAAGGGCTTGTGGATTTTGGAAGGGGCAAGGATGCAGGCAGTGGAGCTTTGTATCACTTCTTTTAAAAAATGTTTTAAAATTGTTAATTGGGCGAAGTTAATTTTATCGCAAGTTACGGGTTGAAGCTTTGCGTTGACTGCTGGAAAACAATCTTTTCTTTAACCAAACAGTTTTCCATCCAGCTTCATTCTGCAGACGTTGTAGTTTTAACCACATGCAGAAATCCGATAATCACAAAGCATCTTAGTCGAGATCCCTAGATGAAAAACTAGAACTTTATGTGGGTTGAGAGTAGGTGGTTCTGGCATGAACCTACCTCATAATACTGATGGAATAAAGTCTTATACTTCTGCTGTTTAAAGAGTCTATGTTCACCTTAATGATTTAATCAGGAAAGCACCAGCTAAACCCTGCACCTATTTGGTGGAAAGATATTGAACCGGGTTGCCTTGAGTTCAGTATTGCCATAATGACTACTGGATTCGATTTTGGAAACTCTGGAAACAATAGACCTAAGAGGCATCTACTTCTATTTAGGTCATCTCATAGAACTTGGAAAAAGTTTTTTGATGTTTGAGTTAGCGATCATGTGCTACAAATAGAGTTGCTCTTTTGCTTTGCCTGTGCCTCACCTCCAGCGTTTTTACAAAATGGCAAGCTGATAGTTGCACATCTGTTTTTGCCATGATAATTGGCTTATAACAGTGAGATTGGAGCCAGGAGATCATTTTCCAGGCAATCTAGTGCTTTAGTCAGCTGGTCCTGATCAGTGAGCTGAGACGTCCCATATCTAGACACTGTATCAAAGTTGAAGACCACAGACTTTACTGAGACTTTTTTGTTTGTACTGATTTAATTTGCAAGTGAAAGTCTTCCATTGATATTTTCTTTTTTCAACCAGCATTCAAAAGACAGAGGTGGTATCTTGGTGATGTATTCCAATGAGCGGTAGTCTTCTTTGATGTTGATTTATATTTACACTCCCAAGCAGGTGCTTCCCTAAAAGATTGGAGAGAAATCATGGGGTAAGGTGCGCTCAGGAAACATGGTCCAACCTAGAATTGCAGTGCTAAATCTATAGCTAGGGCATTGAAGATCTCACAAGTAGAAAGGGTCCAGATTTTGATCATCTGCAAATAATAATCCTTGCATTTGATATAGCGTCTTATCACGTCGTTGAGACATCTCAAAGAGCTACACAAAATATACTGTAAAGTGAATTGACTATATATTTTGTGGGTGAAACGTGGCAGCCAATAGTGCACAGCAGTGTCCCACAAACAGTCCTGGATTGAGTAGCAAATTATTATTATTTATTTACTTAATTTTGAAGGGATTATTACCCCAGAAAGCGATCTGGCAATCGACTAACAACTGGTTTCCTATTTACTGTTAGGTAAACAGAGGTGTGTGGAGTAAGGAAACTTGCCTATGGTTTTGCCCCGCCCCGGAATTGAGCCCAGGTGCTCTCACTTGTGAGGTCTAACAAATATGCTACAGGAGTTAAGATTAAGAGGGGACCTGATAGAAGTATTTACAAATATGAAAGGGTTTGATAAGATGATCATAAATAGGCTGTTTCCACTTGTTGGTGAGTTCATAACAAGGAAGCATAAATATAAAACCATAAGAAGAGAATTTATGAGAAACGTCTTTACACAGGTGCCGAGAATGTGGAACTCACTGCTGAAAGTAGAATGTATCAGCGCATATAAGAGGAAGCTTGATGCATATGTGAGTGAGAAGGGAATAGAGGGTGATAGGAGGGGTGGTGGCTTGTGTTGAGTATTAACAGAATATTAACAGTTGTGTATAGTGAATATAATTCTATGTAACTTCTCACTTCCAGGAATCATTAGCTTAGTAATGAGATAATTGCCCCCCCCCCCCTTCCCCCCCACCCCCCATATGGATCCAAAGCAGGGAAGATCCTACATGGTTTCCCCTCTTTTGTGTTCTCTCTGCACATCTTCTCCACACACATTATAAGAGAAATGATAATAAAAATTGTTTTATTCCCAACTAAAGACAAAACTTTTTCCTTTGTGTTCTTTCCTCTCTGTTAAATCGCTCATTTACCTGAGCACGTGGAGGATCTGTTGTCTCAAAGACTGAAACCCAAGAATGCCAACAGTATTGATAGTTGACACTCTTAGTGCATTAAAATTCCTCTTGTTTAGAAGAAATTAATCTAACTGGTTTAGACAGATAACAAGAAGTCTCAGCAGGTTTGGAATTCCTGAAATTCAAGCCCTTGACAGGACTAGTACAGTAGAATAAAGATCTTGCTTCCATCACGTTGAATGTAAATACTTTGTTAAATGTGGTAAAGATCTATTAGGAGACCCTGCTTGGCATCACCGGGTCCTCATGTCTGGAACTACAATAGCCAGGTAAATCAACTACAACATGCAGCCTGAACCTGACTTTGCTCCAGCTCATCTACCTTCCTACTTTGCCATGTATATCTGTCACTTTGTGTAAAGTCAAGCTCCTGAGATGATAAAATGCCATAATAATCATTGCATTTGATAAGAGCGCCTTATCATGTCGACAAGGTGTCACAAAACGCTTCCCAAGATTTTATGGTCAAGTGTGATGACTATTTCTAGGCGAATACAGCATCTAATTTGCACAAAACAGTGCCACGCAAACAGACAAGACCAATTTAAATTGGGCGGGGGGTGAGGTTGTTGGCCATGTTAGTGTGTACTACGAAATGAGAGTAAGCTGTGTGTTCTCGACGGTACGCATCTTGCTTTTATCCAGTATGAAGACGGATCAGTTTCTTACTACATGCAAATTTCTTGCACAAGGCATCTGAATCCTATGTGATTCATGCAATTATAGTTTAGTTCCAGGACTTGAATTTGAATGGGAACAAATTCTGCTTTCATTGGATATGAGAAAAAGCCCTTTGTTGCTTTGTAGACGGGATGAAAATCCCACAAAAACTCATATGGGTTTGTATGATGAAAACACTTCATTGCTTGCCAAGTCAAAGATGATTCAGCCTTTAGACTATATTCTACACAGTTAGCGATTATTGAGAAGCAGTTCTTTGTCTTACCGCTGCCCTTCCAAAGCCTAGATAACCTAGCCGTACATCAGGACTTCAAAATCCAGGATGACACTCCAATGCAGTACTGGGGATTTTCTACATTGTTGGGATGTGCTGTCCTTTGAATGAGACATCAAACTGAGGTTTGATGTTCAGGTAGACATTAAGGATCCCACGGCAGCAAGTTTGAAAAGAGTAGGGCTTTTCTCCCAGGGTTCCTAGCTAACAATCCCCAAATAAAATTGATCATTCACTTCATGGCTATTTGTGCTATATTGTTGGACGCAAATTGGCTATTGTGCTCTCAAGTTGGCTATCGAGTTCACCCACACATCACACAGTCATCGCATTTTACAGTAAAATCCTGTGAAATGCTTTGAGACATCTTGGCGATGGGATGTGGCGCTGTATCAAAGTGCAAGGATTATTATCTAAGCATTAGAACAGTGCTAGACTGTCTGTGCATATATTTTAATTTTTTAAAAAAAGACTGAAGTGCACTAGGGAGGGTTGAACAGTGTTGGGGGGAGGTGCTGGATGGAAGTCTAAGTGTAATTTTCCTCCTGTGGTTTGACATCACTGGAACCCTTTCAGTGTCTCATTATTACCTTGAATCTATTTCCAGCTCCCAGACAACAGTTCATTCTCAGTGTATGACATCATTTGGGACACAATTAATAGGTCTAGGAATTTTTTTTTCATGATCTCATTACTGTAGCTCCTCAAAAGGAAAGAAAAAAAAGTTTGTGCAATTTTTATAGCGCTTTACCAAGTCTGGGTCTCAGTAGTTGCTGTCCAACGTAATGACTGTTTTTGTAAGCAAATGGCACAAATGTTTATGCACAGCAAAATCCCACAAACAACTACCTGTTGAAAAGGCAACTTATCTTGGAGACTGTTTGCTAGTGTACTGGAAGAAGCTTACGTCTTTTGTTGAATAATCAATTGGATCTTTTATATTTCACCTGAGAAACAGGTAGACCAAGGAGGACAGTTCAACAATGCAGCGCTCCACCAATATACTCCACCAATATAGCAATGGAGTGTCAGCTTGGATGAAGAGTTTAAATCCCTAGGTGGGCGCATTCCCAAAAAACACTTCGTAGCACATTCTGTGCCGTGCTTTGAGACGTCCTCCTGATGTGAAAGGCATTATATCAGATGCAACGATTATTATTACTTATAATTTGTGCATGAATCTTGTGTTTATTTTTACATTCCATCAGTTTTTCCGGCAAAATATTTCAATGTTGCACCAACTTGTGTAAAATGACCGTTTTGTTTTGCCTCTTTCACCTCTCCGCATGTGTTTGTTCAGCTCAACCTCAACCACTGCCTCCGCCAACTACTTCAGCACTGGAACCGACTGAGGGCAAAACTGGAAAGCTGCAAAATGGTCACACGAGTCCAACTGACGTAAATGCAATCCGCAATGGAGTCTCGCATGGGATTTCAGACTGCAGAAAACATTCTGCTCCTGTCTCCCAGAAGATGCACAGAAAGTTACAGTCCAGCCTCTCTGTGAGTAGCGATGGCAGCAAGAAAAGCAAGTTGAGCTCCACAAACTATCAGAGAGCTGCTTCCATACCAGAGGGTGAGTTTGGCTCAACTTTTTTGTGGTCACCACATTCTAAATGGGTGGTTTCAATCCTGTGTGGCAAAAAGGGGCCAATAAAAGCTGTTTTTATACTTAGATCTTGTTTTGCAATGTTGCTAACGGCTAGCTTTTTACAACCAAAATAATTCTTTATAAATCTTGCATGTTTCCTGTAGGTTACACAATCAATGAAGCATTCTCATTTTGGAAGAATTTGGTTTTATGTGTTTCTCCTTTCCTTCTCTCTTGCTTTCTCTCTACCTCTCATCCCTTTCTTTTTCCTGTGCCATTCTCCACCCCCCCCACCACCTCTCTCTCTCTCTCTCATTCCCCTCTAGTTCTGTTTAATGGACATCCACTCATCTAGAATTTAGTTGCTACAGAATTCCGTCCCACTTTTTTCCCAATAATTCTGTCCTACTGTTTTCCCAATCCTACTCTTCTTCTTCTTTTTCCCCCTCCCACCACCACCATTACCTGGGGTCATTACGTTTCCTGTAGCTCAGTGGTTAGAGCACTCGCTTTGCAAGCGAGAGACCTGAGTTCAATTCCAGGCAGGGCGAAACCTTGGGCAAGTTTCCTTACTCCACACGCCTAATAATAATCCCTCCAAAAAACCCAAAACAATAATAAATTGGTCATTTTCAATCTACGACTGTTTGTGGGACATTGCTGTGCGCAATTGGCTGCTGCGTTCGCCCACAAATATACAGTCAATTCACTTTGCAGTATGTTCTGTGAAGCGCTTTGGGACGTCCTCCCGACGTGAAAAGCGCTATATCAAATGCAAGGATTATTATTATTATTATTATTACCATTCCTTACAACCCCCATAATAACTTCTGTCTTAACATCCAACCCTGTGGTAAATTATGGGACTGTTTTTATTTTTGGCTTCGCCTGCGACGGATAAGGTAAACTATCCTCAAAGAACAAGTGAAGCTGTGCAGCCTTTGATCATCTCACATAGATTTAGGCAGCAATAGTGAGTGTTCCTGAGGATGCATTGAATTCTTACCAAGATAAATTTAATGAGATTTCACAGGCACTTTTTTTTGTTTTAAGAATGTGAACTACAGTACAACTGTTTCAACATGCACAAGAAACAAAGTTGAGGATGATTGCTGAATCTGTTTTGCAGAATGTCCACTAAACTGGCATCTAGCTATGATGCTTGACATTACATTTATGACCACTCAGCAAGAAGTTTTAAATTTGTATCTGGTTATTAATACATATCTCGCCCAGTTGATGTTTCTCTATTAAGAGTGTGTCATCTTCCTTAGAAATTTTAAGTATAATACTCTGGTTACCTTTGACATGACCTTTTCAATGGGCCTGAAAACAAGAGTCTGTAATTACAAGTGTCTTGAGATGTACACACACCATAGTGATATACAGATGAGACCTTTGTATGTGCGGTGTACATTCAACAAGTTTACATCTATGGTTACACTTTGTTCTCTAGCTTATGCATCATTGGGTTTCGTGAAACTTTTCAATACATATTACTTTTGTTTCAATATTGGGGACACTTCCAATAACATTTTCAAGAACCCCATTTTCAATTTTGAAAATGGGTTAGCGTTCACTGTAATTTGGAAGCAAATCGTCAAACAAATTTACAGTGCTCCTCCTTCTTGCCACTTTTTTTAAAAAAAGCCGTTTTCATACAGTTAAGGCTGAAACTCCAAAGCAGTTCTTGGAGAGGATTGCATTGTTGTGGGTGCTGTCCTTCAGATAAGACGTTAAACTGAGATCACGTCTGCCTCTTCAAGTGGTCGTTAAAGATCCCACTGTTATGACCCCAGGTATTATGGCCAGATAGAATTGGTCAATCACTTTGCGGATTTTTGTGGAACATTCCTATGTGCAAATTGGCTGCCGCATTCACCCACAAAATACCCAATCACAATACTTTACACTATATAGTGTGGATTGCTTTTGAATGTCCTCCCAATGGGAAAGGTGCAATAATCAACTGCAAGGATCATGATTTACATTGTCCTTTTGAGTGTGTGTGGGGGGTGGGGAAGCTAGTGCAAGATAGCACACACAGTTCAGTCATTGTGAACCCCGCACAAAATCCCTTCCGGTTTAATAATTCTGTCTTAAGAGTGCTACCAACTGAACCAGGCTGATACAGAAGCACAAACAGATGCACACTGTTTGTATTTAAGGTGCAATAATACAATGTGAATAAAGAATAGGCTTTACTAAATGTGTAGTCCAACTGTATTTTCTAATAAACTAATTAATAGGATCCGTAACACGCTCTCTCATGTGACCCTGGCGAGAAGCTTCTATAGTGTGTAAAGAAGTTCAAACCTAGATAATGCGAATCCCTGATGAGAACTCCTACTTTACTAGTCTCTCTGAGTTTATAATGACAAATTCTGACTGCATCTTTTATGAGGTTAATTCCAGATTTTCATTCAAGGTCATTCGTTGAGCTTGGGAAGCAGGGAATTTGATTTTTTTTATGTTTAAAAAAAACAGAAATATGCAGTGGGTCAATCAGCATCTGACAGCAAAAGCTTAGTTCACGTATTGGATGAGATGTCTCTTTGCAACTGTAGTGAAGAGTAGTGGGACCATATAAAGGAAACTTAATACTGAGATTTTTTTTCCCAGCATTACCTCCCACTGGCTCATTTTTGACACTGAACAATCTGTTCTCTCAAGCACCTGAGTTTTATCTCCCTTCAACCCAGCCTCAAGTGGGTTTAAAACCACTTTGATAGCCTTGAGCCTATGGCGGATGTGATCCTGACTTCACTTTGGCTCGTTGCTTCAACTCTAGCTCTCGCACTAACCTCTCGCCCACCCCCTCGTCTTCCCTTGGTTTCCCTTCGGTGCTGCAGAAAAGATAACAAATTTTCAGGATCAGTGTCTAATTTTTCTAGGGGTCTCACCAGCTGTCTGGCCTGAACAGTGGAGTTGTGGGATCTACAGAAGATCACATGTTTAGTTTGGATGAAGACGGCACTTCATCTATCTGATCTTACCCCACTAAAATGCCCACCCTGCCAATCTATCACAGCATCTAGCTGTGTTTTTGTAAATATTCCTGGCAACCTGTCCTATTATTAAATATACCCTGGGTAAAGAAAAAGTTCTTGGCGTCTGTCCTGAAATTGCTCTTTGCAACTTAAGGTACATCCTCTTGTTCTGCTTCTTGTGCATCCATCCTAAAATATTGTTCAGGGTTTCTTTTTCAATCCCATTTAAAATGTTTACACTTCTATGAGGCCCTCTCTGAGTCATCTTTTTTTTAAGCGTTCTAGCTTGTCTAACAATTGCTTGACCTTTCGTGTCTCTACAATGCTGTAGAACAGGTTATTGCAAGCTTCAGAATCAGTGTCTAATTTACCAGCTGTCAAGTCTGTGGGGGGGCGGGGTGGAAGATGTGGGATTGAAGATGTGGGATTCCAAAAGGGAATTGTAATCAAGAGTGTGTCTCGAGCCAGCTATCTGGAATTCTGCTCAGACTCTGATCTCTCTTCTGATCGCTGCCCAAGCGGAGTTGCAGAACATAAAACAACCAATACTTGCCGCGACACTTCTGAGATTTGCTGCAGGTATTTACAACTGTAAAACAACTGTTTTGACTATCACTCAGTTTAAGACTATTCACATCTTTGCATTCATCTATAAAACACATTCTACAGAAAATCATGTGAGGCATTTGAGGAATCCCCTCAACTTGAAAGGCGTTAATCCAAATGCAATGTTTATTATTATTATTATCCTCATAGCTATGTTGGATCAGGAACTCTGAGAGGCAGCAAAGGCTGAGGGTGTTTTGTTGATCTAGTCCTGCTATCATCCGTCCCTCCCTTTGGTTCTGATGGATGGTCACACCTAAAGCATTAACTTATCTTCTTTTTCAGACGCAGTTTGAATTGCTGTGTGCTTCCTGTGTTTTCTGGTGTAATTCCAGATTTATATCATTTGACAGTTTTACTTTTTAACTCTATTCTTTGATTTCTTTTGAAAAGTACTGAGGTTTTGCATATGACAAGCACAAAACAGTGTCTTTGTTCCAAAAATATTTGGGGGAGGGGGTGGGGGAAAAAAGAGAATGGGTAGAGCAGTGATGGAAGGTACTCAGAAAGCTGATAGATATGGAAGTTCTGCAATGAGCAACGGACTGTAATAGTTACTTAATTCTTTCACCTTCTTTGATTTAATAAAAAAAAGTTTATCAATGCGACCTTTGCTTCTACTTAAGCCTTCCTCTCTACGGCCCGGCCTGGGAACGTCTACTGTACCTGTTCTGAATGTGTGTCCAATATCGCTCGATTGCATAGCAAATTATTATTATGTGTGTGTGTGGGGGGGGTTATAGAAATCTATAAGCAGAGGATCATGATGTCAGATTGTATTCTAGGAAACACTCTGAATGATTCTGTTACATATTTCTGAACAGGATTCCTGAGTATTGGTTGTTTTATATTTTAAGCAAATTCTACTACAACAATAAGATTACATTTGTAAAGCGCCTTTCACGTTGGGAGGATGTCCCAAGGCGCTGGACAGTGTACAGCATTTCAGACTATTATTATTATTCAGTTCTATTATTCTAACTGTGAATGTTCAAGTAACAATACAATTTACATTTATAAAATGCCTTTAACATTGAGAGGAATCCCAAAGCCCATACTGCATTCAGTAACTGGTACGAGGATAAGCTGTTCAGTTGTGGGAAGCAATTTTTGAGCACAAATATGATTCCGAATGAACTGTCTGTATCTTGGCAGCCTCTTGATATAAGAAAATACAACAACGCCTGTTTTCCTAAGTCCTCACATATTACTTGTTAGTATTCCTTAGTTTCTCAGATATTACAGACTATTCGTATCAACTGTTCAATATTCCTCCATAAAAGTCTCGCCTGGTTTCTGGCCTCTACATTGGAACCCTTCCCTCTCTCTGAGGGGAGCTCTCCATTTATATCCACTTCAAATCAGCCCCTGGTCAATTACCTCAGCTTT